GGTGCGAGAGACGGCGGGTTACGATAGTGTTGAGGTTCAGGAGTGATTGCCTATGGAGTGAGTTCCGCTGTGCTGAGGCCGGCGGAATGGTTTCGGAGAGGGAGAGGATGCTGTTGAGGCTGTTGCGAGAGATGCTCTTGTGGAGGGTGGTCCACCGCTTTTCGAGCGCTGAGGCTTCGGACTCAAGGTGGCCGAGGAGGGAGCGGTCGCCGTCGGAGGTGTAGCTGATGGGACGGGATAATGCCTGGGATGGATCCATGGGCTTCGAGATGTGTTCAAGAAGATCATCGAGAGGGTTGGATTTGTTTTGCTCCAGAACCATTGTCAGTCGCGCTTGGACAATCGCCTTCTTCGCGTGAGTCGCTGGGCTGGATGATGATTTCCTCGACCGTGGAGGAGTCTGGAGTTCTTCCTCTGAGGCATCATCGCGCTTGCTGCCAATCCTCAGAGGAAGAAGTCCCAGCGGGGTTGGCGGTTTCTTGCGTCTCCCACCGTACTTTTCGCGGAACGAATGGAACCTGGGGATCTCATCCGGGAGGACGGTAAACCGTGACCCAGCGGGATTCCCATTCGCGAGAGCGCGGATATTCTGATCAAGGCGCTCCTGGAGAGCGCGTTCCTCTGGAGACCCATTTGGATTTGCGCCATCATCGGAGAATGAAAACGCATCTGAATTGTCGACCGGTGTGTGGTGCTCTACTACGACCTCTGACAGAGGTTCAGGTGATGCAGGCTTACTCCCGAGATCACTGTTATCACCGCTGCTGCAGTCCGAGTATTTTCTGCGTTTCGCTGATGGCGGGCCGTAGGATTTGTCGGGCTGGTATTCATGAAAGATGTTATGCGCGAGTGAGATCCGGTGGTACTGCATTGTGATGGTGGAGCTGGCCCGTGCTGCTGAGCTTCGTGTCATACAGCAACTCGGGGGTGGAGAACCCCATTCGGAATCTTCGTAAAGGAATGTGGGTTTTAGGTGCCGGGAAAGTCGACCCGGTTGTTCAGTTGTGTTCACTTTTCCAGCCTTCCTGATACCAGTGTTCGCCTCAGCCATTATTGTTGAAATGGACAAGTCATTTTGATCTTCTTCAGCTTCCCCTTCCAAGCTGAAAGCCCCAATGTCCTCCAAGGTGAGTGTTTGTCGGTACTTGGGGTTCTTGCAGTTGCTGGGGAGCTCAACGAGAGCAGCAGATTTCTGATAACCGGACTTGACAGAAACCGCGCGTGCCTCGAAACTTAGAGCACCTGACTGCGAGCCGGAAAGCTCTGATATACCTACTAATTTGGATTCTCGCTTGGTCGACGCCGACTTTTTGCTCGACGTTGATGATCGAGCCTGGTTCGCCTCAGTAGGGATAGGCGGCAGCGCTTCCATCGGCGGCGGAAACAAATTCGGCAACGGCCTCAACGATCTCCTCCGCTCCACGGAATCTTTAGATCTCCGCACAGGCGGCTTCGCGGCCTTCGGAGGCGGGAGGATAATCGTCTCTCGCGGGAAAATGACTCTGCTGCGTTCTCTCTCGTGTTCTCGCGTCAACGGCCGTTTACGTTCCATAATCGGGGTATGCTCAGGCCGGGCCGGTGGAGCCTCGGGAATTTGAGCAACCTCGACTTCCTCAAAGTGGGTTGGGAGCTGAGGCGTACGTGGGGATTTGAGGCGCGGGCTTCGGCGAAGCATCGCGCTTGGTGTTTCAGGAATTGTGTGGAGGGCCGTAGAGGTTGCGTACGGCGCTTTTTCGTAGGTTTGGTGAGAGGCTAGGATGGAGTTGACGAGAGCTGGGTTGCTGTATTGGATATTCCGAACTAGCATAATCTGGGGATTGTGATTGCGATTGGGAGGAGGTGGGAGTGCTTTTGCAACAGTCGTCGTGTTTGGGGGAAATGTAAAGCCGGTCTCTCGGAGTAGGCGTTGGCGATCCACTTCGTCGATATGTGGTGGGCATGGAGCATCGGGAATCCGTGGTAGTTGTCGTGTTTGAGGACTCACTCGGCTGCTGTGAACGCTTTGTGGAGGTTGATAAGTTGCTTGTGGGGGAAGCTGATAAGTTGTTTGTGGAGGCGGCAGAGGTTGAGCCACAATAGTTGACTCCCTTGGATTATTCCCAGGCTCGATGTAATCACCAAGATATTGCGGGAGCTCAACAACGCTGCCGACAGTATTGGTAGCCGGAGATCTCGCCCGATTAGCGATACTAGAAAGTTCTTGCCGTCGCGCCTCTTCCTCTCTCTCAAACTGCGCATCCACCTGAGCCCGAGTGCGCTCTGACGCCGTCCGGAGCGAGTCGTAACGTGAGAGATCATCAGCGGTCGATTGCTCTCCAGCCCGAACAGAGGGAGGTGATCGATATAGGCTCTTCCGGATCAGTTTATTCGTTATCCGGCTTCCAACGTTCGAGGGAAAACGGCTCTCCACATCCTGACCGGCCTCAAGCTCATGAACAGGCCCGGAGATCTGTTGTCTTCGAGGGTCGCTGTGGAGCGAGGAAACTCCATCCGAGCGCTGACTTCTAGACTCTTCGGACGTACCCCATGGAACTGGGTTGGTGGTATGGAGATTTCCCGGGCCGATGATTCCGCGGAATAAAGAGGACTCAGCACTGCCGCCGTATTTGTTGTGTTGACCCGTGACGGCTCCAGTAATGCCCCTGGTAGGAAAATGAGGGTAACGGGGCCCTCGGAAGGAATCAGAGTGGTCGCTGTACGAGTCGTAGTCCAGTTTCCCATCGACACACAAGAACCAGAACGCATAAGGAAATAATCGGACGAAAAGCAGCAAGATGGCGAGCGCTGCAATGGGAGGAAGTAGTCTGAGAACAACACCCCCAATCCTGAGAACAGACGGGACAGCAGATGCATCCCAAACTCCGAACCAGATGAAGATCCAAAACAAATTTGTCCCCCGTTGAGTTTCCCCGCCAGCTTTCTGCATTTCTCTGAAAGCCACTCCAGCCCGGGCGAGCAACACGATCGCCATTGCTCCGTCAAAGCACAATTGAGTGAGCCCGGCAGCGCGCCCATGCTGAATGGTTGTAATTGCTTGTGGAAAGCATATCGGCATGAAGGAGTAGCGCGTAAACCCGACCACCACGACTCCAAGAACGCATCTCAACATCAAAAATATCAGTACCAAGATACGTTCCGCAGCGTCGTCAACCGGCCCTCGAGCGCCCCAGAACGCGACACCGAGTATAGATATTCGTGCAAGCTGGTCGAAAATCGCAATGAAGATAGTGGTGATATTGCAGCCCAACTCGTTCTCTAGACTCGTTGCGACAAAGTGTGATATACTCCATAATGCCGCAGAGGTAAGGAAAACTATGAGCCCGATGGAGCGAGGATTAAGGGCTTGTTCTTTGCCATTGTAGGCGTTGTAGAGCTTGCTGACTCGGTAGATGGTTGGTATTATTGATACAGCGGAGTGGCAGACGATGCCCCTGGAGATGCGTTAACGACAAGACGAATGAAATGTGTAGAATGAAGTACGCACAATCCGAAAACGCAGGAAAGTATCCCCAATGATTGCATTTTTGAGACTTTCTACCTTGTGTTATCGCATGCGGATTCGGATTGACAGTAACGCCTCTGACTGGTGGGAGCGAATCTACGCCTCGATCAGCGCCGTCCCTCTCGTATGAATTTCTGGGGGATAAAGTCTTACCAATGAGGTACGGAGCTTGCCCGTATCTATATTATAACAAGTATGGGCCGATTACGAGGTATATCCAGGAACTTTCTTCAGAAACGAACAATTGAAGGGTGAAGAGTAAACAAGAGAAGGAAGCGTTGTACGGCGCCAAAGACCTGGGACGCGAAAAGTCGAGAAAGGTGAAACGGAGAGGGATTCCATAGGAAATAGTCCGCAAAAGGCCTACTCTACTCTACCAGACAGCTCAGCGAGCCTCTGTCCTCTGTGCCTCGGGCGTCATAGTGTCGCGTTCATGCCTCAGTTCTTGACCCTGGCCGGGGCCAGCACATGTTGATGCTTGGATATCCACATACTGCACTCCCATGTATAGATCTTGGGCGCTGTCTTCATGTAGCGCTTCCAGCCACAGGACTCAACACCTGTCCCAAAAACTCCAATTGTGTCAAAAAAGGAGGCTATCCTTTGGGGCGGTGTGGGTGTTGCTGTCAAGTTTTTCTGGTAGTCGTGGTTTCATGCATCGTCATAGGTGTCGCGACTGTGGTTTCATCGGGATCTGGCTGGTCTGGACTTTGGAAACATTGCATGCATCAACATCTTCGAAATAGTTGAGCTGATCTGGCTACGTCCGTTCATATCGTTTTGGCGTTGAAGTATTGTGCTGGGTTCGAAACGCTACCCACGAGATCTTCATCCACCATCAACCGGGAGATCTCCGGCCACCCGGGATCCGCATACCGGGGTGCAGGTCCATGGTGGAGCCATCCGTAGCAAGCAACAAGGTCGATCGAGAGCAGTAGATGTTGGCATGATGGGTGTCGTAGAGAGTGATGTGGTGGTTGAGGCTCCACGAGGCGATGTGCGGCGAGGTTGAGGAGGGATGTTCGAAGCTTGAAGTGGCATCGTGAAAGAAATCGCGCACCTTCACGACGTCGGGCGTCTTCGGCTTTGGCGACACAGACGTCTATCCTAATCAACCGATGCGCCTTCATATGGGTCACGATGCAATGTGGATGGTGTATGATGTTGATTAATGACCCGTCTGTAGTGTGTGTTGAGATTCATTACATTTCTCTCCCAGAGTTCAATATATGCTACAACAGACGGAAAGACGACTCACCACAGAATGCCTTTCATCGCCTTCGTTGGAGAAAAGACGAGACGTTAATTCTCGATAGGCCTTTGAACAGTTCACCATCAAGTCTCTGCACATGTGCGATGGTTAAGGCACTGGTGAAGATGGTTGTCCCGTTGGATGACGTTCGATTCCATGCACAATCAATGTCGAAACCAACCACCACCGAGTCCAGGTCCAAGGTTTCGTCTGGGCAAAAGGGCGGATGATAATCAAAAAAGGATGTGGAGTCATTGGGGATTGAACCCAAGACCTTCCGCAGGCATGATAATGCAAAGCGGACGCGCTACCACTGCGCCATAACCCCAACCAGTGATATAATTTTTAATTTGTGCTTGTTCAAGCCATGCTAGTTTATAGTAGATCATAACGTTTAGGTGATGGTATGGCTCAGTGGTTAGGAGCGGCCATACAGGTATTCCATTAGGCAAGCCCCTCCTTTTGGTCTTGGGTTCAAATCCCAACGTCACCACCTTTCTAACCATGCGGCTGAAACTTTGTTTCTACATGCTAAAAATGCGGCTAGGGGGTAAGCCAACTGAACAAGGAGGGAATAGTCATGTCATCAGACTGGCCACCCAAATGGCGTCCCTTGCCAAGTACAATGGGACGGCGAGATAAATGGTTGAAAGCGGATGAACATTATGTATTTGAAGAAAAAACAATGTATTGGACAATGGGGAGGGGAAGGGAGGATGTAAGGGTAGTTGACGCGCCATATCCCTACGGGACGCATGCGCTTAAATGATTACAATACAATACAATACAATATCATAACGTTTATGCAGACCGCGCAGTCACAGCGGTCTACTTAAAATCGATAGGAAAAAGAGACAGTGACGAATGCTGGTGGTGCGACAGACCCCGCCAGACCCGCGACCACCTGTTCAAAGAGTGTACAACATGGAGAAGAGAGCAAGAGGGGCTCTGGAACACGCTGAGGAAAAAAGGGTTTATGAAGACGCACGCGCTGTCGACAATCTTCGCGGAACCCAGGGCCACTCAGGCGATACTAAAATTCATCGAAGAAACGCTGGTGGGAAGACCAAAATCAGAGGACGAGGATAGAGCCGAAGAAGACCGGGTACATGAGGAATGGGGGTGGGAGGAAGAGTATGGAGT